TCAGATGTAAACAAATGACGTCACATGTTATGAAATGGACAAAGTCCGACAATTATTTTAAAAATAAAAAAATAATTGTCGGACTTTGTCCATTTCATAATGTGTGACGTCACACACACACACACACACACACACACACACACACACACACACATATATATATATATATAATTGTGTGTGTGAGTGATTATTTATATTTGTCTTAAAATTTATTACCAGAGAAACCGTTCTGTTCGAACAATGTTGAGACAAACAGTGGATCAAAATCTACTCGGTGTTTTTTTTTTAACAAACACAAAATTAATGAAAAGCATAAGTAACAAACTACCTGAAAACTTTCTCATTTCTCACCTGATGTGTGCATATTCTTTGCAGCGTTTGCCTGAAATATAGCATGTGCTGTTTCAAGGTTCTTCTTCATCTGCAAGGAGATTGTCGATATTTGAGCGCCTGGCAGACTTAGAATGAATACAAGTAAAACTATTAAGTAATTGTCGAAAACAAGACGAAATGTAGAACCATTACATGTAAGAATACAGAATCCATCAGCAAAAGAGACAACAAAACGCAGCCTCGCACCCTGAAGTTGAAACGTCTTTGTCACTGCACCAATTAATACAATGTTTTCTATGACCCTGGTTGGAGGTCAAAGGCACCAGGTCACTCATATTGTTGTATCTTCTCTCTCACTCGCAGTCAGTGATCGCTAGTTGTTCCAGAGATAAAAGAACAGCACAGGAATTTTTTCTTAACTAGTTTAATAACGGCGACGTATACATTTTTTATCTAGCCAATGGGGTTCTCCCCGTCCACTGAGGAGCCGTTTGCAGGCACGAAAAGGAAAACACGTTTATATTGTTTGACGGTTAAGACTCTACTGACTGAAAATCGTTTTCTATCTAAAGTTCTCACGCCGTTTCACCCAATCAAAATCGACTACCTTTGTTTTGTCTTGTATCTGATCTTTAAGGTCAATCTCAGCAACGGTACACTTCTCCAAAAAATACTGTTATTTAACAAAATTATGCTTTGGGTACGTTAAAATAAAGCAGATGTGGAAATTTAACTAACAGGATTGGATTGCAATAGACGATTGAATTTGTGGTAAATAAATCTGAAAACGTCTTGAAATAGCGAAATATGTATTTCGGAAACTAATCAAGTAATTATAATATTAGAGGATATTGTTTGAATCAAAATAAAGACGGCTGCAATGCTATTTAAAACATAATCTCCTATATAATATCTAAGTTCCTGGCTGTGAATGTTTGAATCCTTACTAACAAGGAAGTATTTAATTATACAAATTAAGCGTGTGTTTTTTATAATTCAATCATGAGTACTGTCGCCTGATATTTGCCTGACTGAGTATATATCAATTCAGACTCATTTTGAAATTAGTATTGTCCTAGTTTGGGTGCAATACCAGTGCTAGAGAGCACAGTGTACTTTGCTATTTAGCCCATGGATGGATGGAGACAGAATCAAACTTTTCTACAAAACATTAAACTAAAAACACGGATCATTTTCTTAAACAGCATCGTCAGTTCGAGACATTCATGTGGATGTCATGCGTAACGTCAAACGCTTTCAGAAACAGATAAATAAGGTACTGTACATAACAGTTTATTTATATTAGTGATTAAAATGGCTTCATTCTAATGACAGAAGGGGACATTTCAACACCGCTGACTCAACACCGGCCAAACAATTTTTGATGACATAGTGTGCACGTCTATTACATCGGCTTTGAATCAGATATTTTGATAATTTGGCTGTTTGTCTTAGTTTTTTATTAGTTAAAACAGCCTATTTGGCTGACTGCTATTTAATTTTCAAACTTTTCATCAAACCAAAAATGGATTTCTTAGTCAAAGTAGAAAAGAAAAAATTGCGCACGAAAGCCATTTATTTATATTTACTAAGTTTAGTAAAAGAGACAGTTACTTAAAATTTTCGCGTTGTGATGAAGGCTCTAGTTGCATTGAGAGGATTCATACGAAGTTTGAAGCTGTTATCAAGGAAGTAAACAAACATTCCCACAATCGTCAGCGGTCAGTTTGGGTGTGACTAAAGTGCACACAGCTTTGAAATATGGTGCCGAAAATACCGTTGAAAAGACAAGTAAATAAAATCATATTTTAAAAAATGATCCTTTATAATTTTATTCGGTTTTACTTTTATTCGGGTTTAAAATGTAATGTTTTAAAAATGTTTGATTATAAATTACTTATTTGTTTTTAAAAGGTCGACGAAAAAATTTCCTAATTTGCATGTTATTGAATTGACGGCGTTCAGTTGGCAGTGATGTGCCCTGCATCTAACTAATGAAGCCTTTAGGACTTATTGACGACCATCCTTCTTCGAACCTTGTGTACGGGTGCTACAGTATCACAATCAAAAGCTGTACCAGAATAATAGAAACCAAAACACCTGAGGATATTGAAAAACGGTAACAATTCAAATGAACAGCACATGCAATGTAAAGAGAAAATACTAGTATAATCAAAATAATGACATTCCCCACTACTTCAAACAAAAGTTTAGGAATGACTTGATCCTCTGTAGATGAATGCAGAATGTTTCCTTATAAGGAAATTGCTAATATTACCATTTTTCAAGAAGACAAGTACGAAAGAAACGAAGTTACCTTAATCTGAAATTGAACGTGGCATGCTGATTTCACTTTATGCGACGATAACCATTATGCAACGGCTGATGGACTTGCGTTTCGAAACCTTGTCTTTGTCGTAGTTGACGCCTCGTAATCCTAAATTCAACGTGCCGTCGAGAAGATCCTGCCGCTAATATCGGCTTTGGAGTCGCCGCCTGTTTCTATTGTGACCTCTTCCTCCTTTTTGCTAATATAAAAGAAGAACATGGATATATGTGTGCTTTAATGTGAGCCTTGTAAGGTATATTCTTTCCCATTTTTAGTTCACGAGACGTTAAGAGAGAAATCTACACGTCTATTTTCATGGAGAGCTGAGAAAAGCAATAGTAATCGTGGAAATATACCCAAGGAATATTGCCGGTGTCATCTATTTATGGAGACCCATTCGCTTTTTTATCTCAGTAATTTAAAAGAGGCATAGTGGAGTAATGGATAGTGGCTCTTATTGAGGAATTGAAGAGCAGTGTTCGAATTCCAGTCAAATACATTACATTCACTTACGTACTAATAACCTTGGGAAAGGTATGAATCCTCTTCTTCTCTCCCCTAACTATGGGTAAATAGCAGGATAGATCGGGTTCTATAGCTTTGGATGGCAACTGGTCCACCTCATAAGGAAATGGCACCCTACTGCGGGAAAAAAATCTGCCTCACATATTGAAAGATACATGATCGCCTAAGCATGTGTTACGCATGTCACATAACTGACTAACTGAATTTAATATTATCTTGGCAAGTTTTTTTTTTTTTAAGCGTCTTAAGCAAGGCGAGAAGCCACTAGGATGCAAGGGGTTACAGAAGATTTGAAGCTAGATCAGATAGGAGTGATAGAAGAAAGGATGAGGAGAAGGGTAGTGGATAGATCAAGGCAATTGGAGATGTCGATTGACATTACATTAGAATAGATTATAGCTCTCAGAAAAACTGGAATAGGGAAGGGAGTTCCACAGGCGAGAGGTGCGAGACATGAAGCTATTGGAGTAGAAGAGGCTGCTACATTTAGGAGTTTCGACAGTGAAGGGGTGAGAGCGGGATGCCAGCCTCGTAGGGCGCTTGAACTCATGAAGTCTGGGAACCAGCGAATGCAGATCCTGGCTGCAATTGCCATGAAAGTATTTGTAAAACAGACAGAGAGAGGCGACGGTGTGTCTGTGAGAAAGTGACTGTAGATGAGATGCCAGAACAGGGCCAATTATATTGCATATCCGCCTCTGGAGCCTATCAAGAACCCTGAGGCAAGCAGAAGGGGCACCAGACCATATATGACAGCAATACTCCATGCAAGGGCGAATTGTTGATTTGTAGATCCGGAGGATCGATTCCGGGGAGAAAAATTTCCTGGCGCGGCACAGGGAGCCAACTTTCCTTGCGTTGGACGAAGCAAGTGTGTTTGCTTTTCGAAAGTACTGAAGATTTTGCTGATATAAAAGAAATAAAAAAAAGGCATTGCACACATAATTTTTAGCTTAGGTCTTGTGGCTTCACGTTTTACATTATTAACCATCAAAATTAGAGATTAATTAAAATGTCTAGATTGTTATTGTCAGAATGATGAAGGATTTTGTGTGACACTCATTTCCATAACCCGTATCGTTTTTTTTTTGTTGCTGCAATTCGTCATAAAATGTATTTACTTTGATTGGTTTGTGCGGGGCAAGAAAAAAAAAGGATTTATTAAGCTTCATCATTGTATTTCTATAAACAAAATGTCTTTCTCGGCGTAAACGGTCATAGATCGCCACGAATTCCTTTTCTTTATTATCTGTGAGTAGTCCTACGTGCTTTGGAAATATCTTTCATAGGTATCCCGCTGTCTTCTTCACGAGGAGTCAGTCTACACTACTATTTAATGTTTTCTTGGAAGAGAAAGGTTGGATTCCTATCTTTCACATGCGTATTTACGCAAAAAAAAAAGCAGAAAACAGAATTGGCTGGAATTTGAACTCAGCTCGCCAATACTATATGCAGTGCCGATGACTGCTACGCACATTGTATATTATACTGACCCGGCACGCAGTAACAAACAAACTCAGCCATTAGAGACTATATGGCGGTAGCTTACTCTGTTACAATGTTTGATTAATGTGACACTGATCATGTGACCAAGGGCTATCTCGCAACAGTAGATATTTACACAAAGGCGTAACTCACATCGTCATTTTAACGTTGTATCACTAAATCTGTTCTTCTTTATTCTCTTTGCTTTGTTATAAACCAGTTAAATCGAAATAATATGGAGAAAAACTGTATAAAAGTAGAAATTTGCCCAAAAGAATTTTTTCCTTTTGCTAATAATCAATAAAGCTGAAAACACAATCTTGTAAAAATGATATTTCTTCAAAAAGACGAGATTGTCCGGAACATCGATCAAAGGCCAGTGAATTCGATTATCCATACACTATCGTTTGAATTTTGATTGGAACAATCAAATTCATATCACGATCTATTCCATGTGTTAACAATTGAGGTGATGAATATGATCAGGTCTTGCATGAAGAAATCTGAATATGTAAATGCAGAAAAAATAAACCCGAAGAAAAAAATCAATTTTAATTTTATTTTCTGAGAAACAACGTCTATAATCAAATAAAATTATCAGATTAGACCTCATATACTATAGTCAAAAGGTAATAAACTAAAGATTCGGTTTTCTTCCATAAACCTTTCATTAACATTTAACACAGGTTGTGGGAGTATGAGAATAAAATGTACATGGAAACTACAGGCCAAGGTTTTAGGACCATCTTCCATTTCGAAGAATCTCCCAAATATTAAAGGTTGCTTCCTTTTTGCAAAACTAATTTACTTCTCAGGTCGGGCCAGAGACCATTTCGCTTCCTGAAGGGTTTCATCATAAATTAAATAATAATGATACTAATAACCAAATTAGCCCATTATTATATAAGGTTCTGTAGATTATAGGTGTTTTTGCCTAGTTTAACTTGCTGGCTAATGGTAATCTCTTTTTTTTTTACATGGATCAGCCTGTACAAGGTTAACCACTAGACATGAACAGATTAAGCTTGTAGGGATCGGGGATAGTCTGTGAGAATGGGGTTGTAGGTGGAAAATAATTTGTCACCCTCTATCAAATGTAGATCGCGGAAACTGGGAAGCGTCTGACCATATATAGCAGAAGGGCTTCATTTTCTACCTGATCTGGTTCTTTCTTTCGAGAGGTTAAAAGGAGAAGACAGGTAGTTGCTGAAGTGAGAATTCCACTTGAGGTTCCAGCTGATTTTAACCGCCTAAAGTTTTGGCAGATTTTGATATTTATTTCACCACCTCTAAAGATATGGATGCTATTCAATAGCGGGTTAAACAGTTTCTTCAGCATAGCATTATACCATATGCATATTGGGTTGTTTTAAATGATAATCCTACAATAAAATCTAATCATTAAAACGGAGAGCAAACGCTATAATTTCTGAAAAGAAAAGCAACCAAATATAAAGGCTATCTATATAGTCCGTGTAAAATTTAAAATACTTGTAGTTTTGTAACTAAACACAATAGCAACACTTTGTAAAAAGGGATAAAAAAAGAAGTTAACTTTCAACATGCCACCATATTACGCATAGAAAGGGTAATACGATTCTGTAGTTCCCGGATAAAAAAAATAAATATTGTAGCTGATTTCAGTAATACATTCAATAACATCAATTACCCTATCTTGTGATTATTTAGTTGAATAAGAATTACTATTTACATGCCACCATAAGCAGAAATCCAGGAGAAACAGACACTAATTCGGTAAAAGCGGTAATTTTAAAGTTTGATGATTTTGAAAAAAAAAAAACGCTATTTTGAAGTCACAAGAAATAATTATTGAAACATAAATTAATTTTCCGAAGAAGAAAATGAGACATATCAAGCATTCTTATGCTTTTTACAGATAGTTTATATCATGTATAGTTAGAAAGCGACAAATATAAAAAAAAACACAGGGAGTTTATGGACACACAGTATATTGGTTAAATAGTATCAATTGCCTATTGAGAAAAAAGTAATTATTTCACGCAACAAATAATAATAATCGACTTCCTTAAAAATTCCCAAAAGATTACATAGATTGGACATTATAAGAGATTTAACAGTTCAATTCAAAATTAAAACTTCTATGGCTTAGAAGTATAATATTTACTTTATATGTTCAGATGAGGTTCGTTCTTTATTTTCAAATATTCGAGCATTTACATATATGGAACGCTTTCTTTCTCCCGAGGAGTGGAATCAACCATGATTTCCTCCATATTGGAAATGGTGAGAGACAATTTCACCTAAACTTTTACAACAAATTCCTGTGTGGATACTTCTCCCAAACTACGCTCTTAACCTCTTCGTGTAAATGGTCAGTTGTTATCTAACCTGCTCAATATAATATTTACTTCCTAGAACATTCTCTCGTTCATAAACTACACATTGTGTATCATTACATTTCAATAATAGCCTTCTATTCCGAGATGCTCTCGTATTTTTAGTGAATGGAGTTTGGCTTATACAAGTAAGTATCTATCTATCTATCTATCTATCTATCTATCTATCTATCTATCTATCTATCTATCTATTTATCTATCTATCTATCTATCTATCTATCTATCTACTTTAGGTTACATAAAGAATATCTATTTATCTATATATTTGTCTTGCTATCTATCTATTTTTGCCTGTATAAAATCTATCTACTTTATGTTACATAGAGAATTTCTATCTATCTATCTATCTATCTATCTATCTATCTATCTATCTATCTGTCTATCTACTTTTGCCTATATAAAGTATTTCTATCTAGTTTAGCCCTCATAAATTATATCTATCTACTTTAGCTTACACAAATAACATTTATCTATCTATCTATTTTAGCTTGCATAAAGAACATCTATCTATCAATGTATATTAGCTTACATAAAGAACATCTATCTACTTTCGCTTACATAAAGAACAGCTGTCAATCTATCTATCTATCTATCTATCTATCTATCTATCTATCTATCTATCTATCTATCTATCTATTGTAATATGATTATGGCTGTGTGCGTGTGTTTGTGCGTGTGTATGTGTGAGCGTGAGGAAAGTAGTTGTAAGTATTTTAATCGTTTGTCCCTAAAAAACCCACTTGCATTCTGTTCAGTCATCTCTATTATATAAATACTTTTACAAAATCAAATATAAATACAAAACATAAGAAAATGCACTTTCTCTCTTATTTTTTGAGTTGTATATCCCTGCCTTTCCCTAAAATGATTATGCATGAACTTTCGATGCAATTTAAGTATATTTATACATTTATTTTAAGATCAACTTGGGATTTCAAAGAACTAGCGTATTATTGATGCAGTCATCAATTTTCCAAGTCGATGTTTACAACTTCTGGATAAAGAATGTGAATCTTTGTAACTTAATTTGTATTTTATACACTGGAACAGGACTCAAAAGAAGTTAACATATCATGAAAATCCTATATATATATATAAATCAAAACAAAAACATCCATTTATTAGGATGAGAAGAAACCGTTCGATAGAAGAAATATCGCATTCAAAATGTAGACAACAGTTAAGTGATGTATAAATTAAAAAAATAACCAGAAAATAGACGAAAAAATATAAGACCACTTTATACAACACGACAAAAACATTATTGTGTCTGTCCATGAAATAAGGCCAGTACTGACTTTAAAAAAGAAGAGGAAGCTTTCGAAAGAGAAAACAAAATATTGTTGAATTATTTCATTTTTGTCGTGGAGGTAACAAAGTTTATCTCCCCCTCGAATTACTACACTACAAAAGAAATGGTCGGACCTAATTTATGGTTAGTAGTTAAATTGCATTGAAAAAGTCTTCGCTACAATGTTCATCTATTTTTCTTTACAACATCTCTCCTCTTATATGGTTATGATTGCCTAGAGTATAAACTAAGAAACTCGAAGCAACATAGTTGTGACTATTCAGACAGATACAATGAACTCAACATGGGCGTAAGTAAACGGAAACTTAGATAGATAGATAGATAGATAGATAGATAGATAGATAGATAGATAGATAGATAGATAGATAGATAGATATTTACAATTGGAAAGTGTCATTTGTAATTTCTGGGACAAATGTTGGGGAAAGAGGTCTTGGAGAATTTAATGCTCAAAAGATATGGCGAATGCAACCATAAGAAACTATCGATGAATATGCTTACCCAGTTTGTTAATGTATAGCAGAGAAAGGAAAAGTGGTAAATATTCGTTACTTAGAGCTTTAAGGGATAGGACGTCGAGGAAAGCCACGACAATCTATGTCCTGAAGGTGCATAAAACAAAAAAAAAGATATAGCTTCTTCTAAAATAACATTATGTATACATGGACGGTAACTTCGGAATATCAGAGAGTTTTGCCTGTCTCGGATCAAAGTGTTCCTGGTCGTTACTTCCATGTGTATTCATTGCAGGAACTGTGCGTTCTGCTAACTTGCTTTGCAACTTAATTTTAGATGAATAGGGAGGGGGTCGTTTCTTGTTTTTCTAACTACTCCCGAGGAAACTAAAATCACCACGTTTCTTATCTTCGTATTTTTAACGATTTAAATTGTTTTCCGGGCCCAGTTTATTAAGGCCTTCGTTTATTGTGTATAGAGAAAAATCCTGACTCCTGATTATTATGAGCCTAAGGTTAATTTTGCATTCTTTCGCTAAGAGCGAAACGTTCTGGTAGTGAATATGCAGATTGACTGCTTTCTTTCAAGTCGCTCGTTCGAATTAGTGCTTCAAAAACTTGTTTATTTCAACTCTGCATAATTTAGGGTGACTGAAGTTTCTACTCAAATTTTTTTTTAAGCATTTAATCCCAAGGAAGGCGAGAGTACCACTAGTACGCATGGGGCTACAGAGAGTGTAACTAAGGGACTGGGTATAAGTGCGGGTTGAGTAAAGGATAAAAATAAGAACGGACGAGAATAAAAATTAGAACGAGGATAAAAAAAAAAGCAAGATGTCGATTGACATTACATTTACATTTTTGAAGATCAGAGGTATCCGGGAAGCGAGTAAGAGGAAGGGCGTTCTACTGTTGGGAAGTGCGAGAGAAGACGCTGTTGGATTTAATTATTTCGATAGTAAAAGCGTGGGGCCGAGTTGTCAACTTAGTAGCACGGTTGCATTCATGCTGTCGGGGCACCAGTGGAAATATTTACAGAAATGACAGAGTGAAGCTACATTAAGTCGGTGACTTTCCTCTGTCTTTGCTATAAATAATAAATTCAAATAATGGATACTATGAGAAGTATGGGTTATAAATTATATTTTGTAGAAATAAAGTCATTTATTTCTGAGGACGCCGATTCATCAGTGAAATATTTCAAAAGGGAAGTTTTGGAAATTTTTATTTATACATACTTTACCATCGCATCCGATATATATATATATATATATATATATATATATATATATATACACACATATATACATGATATGAATATATATATATATGAATATATATATATATGAATATATATATATATGAATATATATATATATGAATATATATATATATATATATATATATATATATATTTTAATGTGTGCGCGCGTAGTTTAGTGCAAAAATAACGGCCTTTTTTCCGACCTGAAACGGGTACCCAATTGAGTGGCCATCACCAGACCTTTTCATATTCACATTCAAACTTTCCCTTTACACACACACACACGCGCGCGCGCGTGCGAGTATATATATGTATATGTATATATATATATATATATATATATATATATGTGTGTGTATGTGTATATATATATATATATGTATGTGTGTGTATATCTATATATATATATATATATATATATATAGAGAGAGAGAGAGAGAGAGAGAGAGAGAGAGAGAGAGAGAGAGTGAGAGGCAAAAGTAATGACTTTTTTTGAGCTAAGGTTTATAGGCAAATAAGTTGCCACCACAGTCTCCAGACCTAACACTACATAGTGGGCTAAACTGAATGATCTTGTTTATAGGTTCAAACCGAAAATAATTTCTGATACATTTCTCGAAGGTAGTGCAGAAATCAGTTTAATGGTTTGTAAAAGTTTTGCTGATAGTGTTCAGCGTCGTATTGTACATGTAGTGGACCATTTTGAACATGTGAAATAGTTTGATAATCATAACAAATGATAATCTGATGTTGAGAATACATATACGTTTTCTAAACCATTGCAAATTCTTTATCAGTTACTTTTGATTTATTCTGTGTATCCAAGTTTTAATTTTCTTTCAATCACACTGTAGTTAAATACAAAGGCAAGTGCAAGCGACAGCGAGCAAGAAATCGGGGACATTTCTATAATTTCTTTACACTTTTGAACTGGAATTTTTCGATGATATAAACCGTGAATCCTGAAAGATATCCTTTTTATTTTGGTGTTAATGGTAAACACGAACATTGCATCACGAAAGTAAAAATTTAATATTAAATTTTTTTCGTTTCTATTCTGTTTTGGTTTATATTCTGTTTTGTTTTATAATCTGGTTTGGTTTATACTCTGATATTTGTAAAATTCTACTATTTTCAATGTTTTTAATATTTCCGTACGGGTAACTTGGGAATCATTTAGGGTACATTAATGCATGCACATTTCGATAGGACTTAACATTCGCTTGCAATTATGTTTAAAAATATTATTTAGGAATTGCTTGGCAGGACATTTCGAAATCATTATGGGTCGCCTCCTTAGTCAATTCTAAAATACAGTCCAACGGGCTTTAATAATCTCTCTGTTCCTGCTTTCCTGTTTTTTTTTGTTGTTTTTTTCTATCTCTCTTTCATTTTCGGTCTCAATTTCTCTCTCTCTCATATATATATATATATATATATATATATATATATATATATATATATATATATATTACAAATTAATTGATTTAAAATATGGGGTTTTCTCTACACAGTTCTAACCATGTTTCAAAAATGGAAACTAAAAGCTTCAATTTAATTTTTTAATTAAATTAAAGACATTTTAGGTAAAATTCAACTATTTTTGGCGTAATTATCATAAATTTAAATGAAATAATATTTAAATATGTATTTGAAAAAAATTTGACCTAGTAATATACATACTTATACTTGATGTGAAAATAATTTTACATACTGTAAGTGATTCTAATACATTTACTTGTTCTAAAAAGAAATATAGTATATTAAAAATTAAAAGTGAAAATATTTTTAAAATCGTAGTTAAATAAAACGTATTCTAACCTAACCCCACCCAATCTTTAAGTATACAAATAGAAAAAAATGCCGTAAGAATTTTTGCGGTTAACAATAAATTTAAAAAAAATCCAGACGACATGCATTTAACGGATGTCAGTATTCATTGAAAAATTAATTGTATTTTTATAAATGTAAAAGCCTTAACTAAAACAAATTTTACATTTTACAAATACATTTTATGTGTAAAGTTCATTTTATTAAAAAATAGTAATAAACTTAATTAATTCTTTTTTTTTTCAATTTAACTGATGAAAAAAGTATTCGTACAAAACAAAAAAAGCATATTAACTTAATTTAATACTTTGTGGAATATTCTTTATTGAGTTCAACAGCTACCAGTATATTCCTGTACATCTCAACTAATGATTTGCACACATTGAGTGGTATTTTGTCCTATTCTACTTGGCATATTGTCTTCAAATTCTTGATATTTGTTGGTGCTCTTTTTCCAATTTGAATTTTCAAATATCGCCATAAATTCTCGATTGGGTTCAAGTCTGGGGACTGACTTGGCCATTGCAAGACATCAACGTTACTTTCAGCTAACCATTTCCTTGTAGATCTAGCGGTATGCTTAGGATCGTTATCCAGTTGGGAAACCCAATCAGGATGTAGCCGAAGTATCTCAACAGAACGCATTAAATTGTCTTGCAGGATTTTCTGGTAGCTTTCGGTATTCATCTTGCCATCTATTATTGATATTCTGCCAACATCTTTTGCAGAAAAACAGCCCAAGATCATGATACTGCCACCACCAAACTTTACAGTTGGCAAC